ATGAAGTCCTAATAGTGCATCTGAAATTGCTCAGGTAACTTGATTGCTTTAAATGGAACTATTACATTTATTGTTGAATTAATGTATAGTTTCATTTTAAAGATGGTTGTTTCTTAAGTTGTTTTTGATCCAGTGAATTGTCTTATCAGGGAAAAGGATGCTACTTTTTTTACCACAGAAAGGACTCTACAAACATAGACAGAGCCCTAGCCATCTCCATTTGTGCTCTAGATGGCATCTACAGAGATTAAAAGGATGCCTCTCCTATTGAGACTGACTTGACTGTACTTTTTGAAACTGCTAGACATTGTCAGTTAGGGCTTTCTGTAGTAAGCTTTGAAATATTCATGAAATAGCACAAATAAGGTAGATTCAACATTTTATAAGTATATTCAAGACTAATAAAACAAACCTCACAACATAACTTATTTTGTTGTATTCTGGTGTAAAATGGCATAAGCTATGGCACACTGTTTCAGTACTAATCCACACACATTAGATCAGCATTTTATGTCTTGGCCTGTTTATATAAATTCTGGTTGAAGTATGAATAAACTTTTCCTTTTCTTTGCTCCAGTTAGTACTGTGTGTATCTGATGGGGGACTGGAACTCTTTCTTGGAAAAGAAGGAATATGGGGAGAAAAAGAGATTAAATGAACTTTACTTCTAATAGCAAATATCCTTAGTTGGCATTGGGTAATAGAGGCAAAAAACTAAACATAGAAAATACTTTTATCACAGGGTTTTTTTTTCCTCAGTGAAAAGCTACAAGGTAATTGAGTCACATACAGAGCATAACATTTAAATTAAGGGCATGATTATTTTAATTAACTGATGCCCAGTGCTATATGTATAATAATACTTTTTCTTCCAGCATACATACATGTATATGTGTGTAAAATGTGTGAAAATTATAACGACGTAGATAAGCTTAAGATACCTGTAGACAGAAAGGACTGAACCTGGCTTTCAAAGACAACTTCAGTTAATCCTTTCACTTGCTGGTTTGTCTTGGAGTTCTAGGTTCAACACAGTATTTATGGAACTGATACTACTCATTTAGTACAATGCTTTTCTCATTTGAGGGTATTATTTTGGAAACTCTCAGTATAGGGCTGAGGGAAATAAAGCAGTTTGGCAAGAAGCATCAAGAGACTTGGCTACAGTTCCTATATGCATCTTTGAGACAACTTTTCTTCAGCAGTGCTCTCTTCTTACCTCTTGACAACTTGCACTGTATAGTTGGATTTTTTTCTTTTTTTTCCCCTTGAACTTTTCATTCTCTTGTGGTTAGACTGAATTGTGGTTTTTGGAGCAGAGGTACACCAGCATCTTTTAATCTTTTTTTTTTTTTTTTTTTTTTTTTTTTTTTTTTTTTTTTTACTATCCTTTCTAAGATCTGGATAGTTCTTAACCTGTGTGCAGAGACACTTCACATGGTGACTTTTCTTTTGGCTAAGTGCATACATTGTGCCTCAATTTCTGCAAAGCACAAGTTTTTCTGTTAAACTGAGCCTGCAAATCTAATGTGAATTGAATAATCTTTAATCTGTAAAAGTTTAAAGCTGAGAATTGTGTGGAAATATTTGGGTTTGACCTGGAAAAAAGCCAAAACAAAGTTTCAAGTTAACTTCAGGTTTTCAAAGTTATTTACAGGAGTCTTGTTCAGCCAGAATAAGTCAAAACAGTAAGGTGTCTGGCCAGTTCCCTCTATGTATTTTAACAGGAAACAATGTAAATAAACTAGTTTTTCTCTGGCTCAATTCCTATTCTTACCTAGCTCTGCCCACTCATTTTATATTTTATATGAATGTAGACACATGGAGTTTCATTTGATGGAGGTTCTCCTAACTAGAACTCTAAAATGTATCTTCAGAATTTAACATGTACAAAATATACCTTTCTTTCAATTTGCAAGGTATCCTTTTAGGGTAGGTAGGCAGGAGCATGGAGGAAGCTGAAAAATTAGTCATCATCTCACTCTTGGCTATGTTGCCTGGAGTAATAAAAAACCTTTGCCATTGCTTTGGGTTTTTGGCAGAGGTGTGATTTGCAGCATCATAGATGTATCTAAAAATTCTACTATATGTGCCAATAGCAGCTCAAGAGTTCAGGGTGTGTGAATAAATATGGAGTTGTTTTGTGCAGTCCATGGTATAGTTAAATCAAAACTATTGGTGTCTGAGCTTGATAGGCTGATGTTAGATTACACTCAACATGCTGCATTTTTGCTTTGATTTGGATTATAAACCTAACTCTTAGGAAAAAAGAAAAGTTAAACTTCAGTAATACTCCTGTTAAAGGCAGGATTTAACAGGCTACCCTTTTTTAGGGTTGGCCATCCTATCGAATTGTTAGATGTTGCAGGAAAGTGACTAGTGTTTCTTAAAGTCTGGAAAAAGAAACTGTAGGTTAATTGGAAAGGGAAGATGGATGATTGCAATAGATCATGAAGCAGATTGACTGCAAAGGAAAAATTCTTGGAGCAGGAATTCAGAATGAACACAACTGCTGTTGCTTTTGCTGCTTTTGTCTGACATTATACTTTGGTTTTATAAAACTTTAAAAAAAAAGTCTGACGAAATCAGTCTCATAATTGAACTTAGCATCGCAAGCATATCTGGCTTCATTGGAAATTTTTTGTCGGGAACATGGTGACTGGAAGGCTGAGGTGTTTTTTGCTTGTTTTCATTTAATTTTTTGAGTCACTACTGTTACCGCAGAGAATCTATGTTACTTTAAGGATATGAAATGTGATTGTACAACTCCAAAAGAAGTGTCCCCAAGCACAGGATCTTGTCTCCAATACTGGCAATAAATACATGCCTTGTAAGAACAGAGAAAATGTTTATGATGCTTCTCCTGAGTGCTGTCTCAATTTTTAATTTCAGTTCAGGGTATTTTCTGAACACAGAATTCTACCTATTTTTCCTGGGAATCAGTTTTTTTGAAGAATGGGTCCTTTGTGCCTCTTGTTATGATTTTATTTCTTCCTTTATTCTTACATGTGTTATCAGCTGGTATTCAAAGGTGAAAATAACTATGTGAAAAAGTAAAAGGGGAGGGGGGGAAAAAAACCCTAAAAATTAGAGCTAAAAATAAAATATAGACTACCACACTCTGAAAAAGATTGAGGAAAATACGCAGAAAGAGAATGAAATTGAAGACAAAATGTCATGGGGAAATAATGAAGTCCTTATGTATATGTGATGTTAAACAGAAGATAAATGATTACTTGGTGAGGTGAGGGGAATCTTGATTATAATCTACTTTGTTGGTCTGGATAGTGGGTCCATGTTCTGAGAAGACTGGAGAATTAATGATAAAGCTTCCAAGCAGCCTGCAACTCCAAAAAGCTTTTGGGAAAAGATGCAATATGATGTAGGAGCTGAGTGGTTCTTATAATGCTTTTTTTAATTTGCCCAAACTCAAGCAATGGTAAAACATACAGTCTTTCGCTTAATGTTTTATATAGGTACTGGACAAAATTATTAAGCTTTTAACCCAAAGGGTTTATTCTGTCTTTCACTAAATCTTCATTAAAGTAGTCAAGACACATTTGTTGTCTCAATATAGCTTTTGATCATCTCTGAGATAAGATCTGTGATCCCCTAGCTAATTCACTTAACCTGGTTCATAGTCATAGGTCACAGTAGGGCTTCATGACTAGCAATTCCTACCTTCATACTTCCATATGGCTTTTGCCATAGCCACCACACCATTACACTTGCAAAATGAGCAATTCACTCCTAGCACTTGGATTCTGCATTCTTGTGATAGGACTATGCTCACTATCTTTATAAACTTTAAGTTATTTTATTTTATTAATTTTGAACAGTGTTGTTCAGGGCAGCACTTTCAACCCTTGAGTGGAAATATGCACTTATAAATGGCCAGTGGAATTCTTGGAATTATAACTGCTTCTCCTCATTCACCAGGTCTGGGTAAATGAAGGTGCACTGTCACAAGAGCCTCAGTCCCTGTAGCCATTTTTTGGACACAAGATCTTTGAGTTTTCTTGTGATTCTTCAAAAATTGATTATTTTTTTCTTTTTTTTTTTACATACTCGGATAATGCAGTCTACTTGGCAGCCTGTTCTGTTTCCATTTTCATAGAATATGTGGATCTTGCAAGTCTGAGGGAGCAAGACATGGTGCAGTTCTCTCAATACTGCCTCTTGGAGCATCATCTGTACAACTGTACCTGCTAATCAGTCAAGAGACCTGGTAGTTCTAATGCAAAAGTGATCCCAACAGTAGTCTATCGTACATGCAATGTGGATGGTTCAAGGTACAGGACCACAAAATAAAATTAACAATCTAAACATAGTTTAGGTGCACTCACAAATGCTGCCTTATCCTTCTGTAAGAAGAGTTGAAATAAAGCCCCTATATCAATCAGATTCAATTATTTATATCTTTAATGTCAAGCTGCATGGACATTTCATAATTAAGCTACTAAGTTCTTTTCTGTAGGCATTTTTTCTAGTTGATGAAAAAAGAGATTAATAGTGTATGCCTTTATGGCAAACAGAGATGTTCATCTAGTCTACTTAGTATCTATTTAAATAAAATTGAAAGCAGATTGATATTTTGAAGCACTTTCATGAAGCACAAAAGACTCAAAAAAATCTAATAGCCTGTTAAATTGGAATGCATGTTCTAGTGAAACATTTTGTTTACACTTAGCAGCTTATGAGCAAAACAGTAACTATTGGTTTAAAGACAGTACTTATCTTTGAACTTTTATGGAGAAGTTAGTTTTGTGTTGCAGCTCAGAGTATTACTAAATGCTGAATTCATTACCTTTCCTTATGATATTTTTTTTTTTAGCAAACTATTATGTTCGACAATACTTCTACACTGCTGTTTGATTTAAAAGATCAAAGCTGTTCTCTGAAGAGTTTTGATTAACTGTGAAGACTGGCTATGTTCAACGCTAATAGGTATACAAGTGCTGCCAAGATTAATGTGGAGATGACCCTGTGCCTATTTTCAGAATCGCAGGGGGGCGAATTCTGTCAACAGTGAAGATGCATTTGATAAAAGGCCGAAGCAATGGGGATCCTTTCTGTCAGGCAGTAGAGGAAGTTGTACAAGATTTGGATTTGAAGATTAAAAATATTATCGATTCACAACATGAAGTCTTGACTGCCAGCACTACTGGAGTCAGTCCAGCACGGGTAATGGGACTTCTTTTCTTCTTTTTACTATTTAGCTTTACAAGAAAGCAAATGTCTTTTGCCTGTTTTGTTTCTTTTTCATTTTTTAAAGGGCTTTATATAGAGTATTATCTTTTCCTAACAGTACAGAGCAGTGTCATTTCCTCTACACTGTGGTTTAAAAGTTGTTGAAAGACTTATGCTTCAGGATTACAGTGTGGATTTCAAAAAGCTGATTTACTTAAACTAAACTTCTCACCTCAAAATTGTGAATAAAATACTCTCCAAACTTAATTTGTTCATGCAGTTATTGATGTAGATACTTATAACTGTCAGGTTTACCACTAATTTCAAGGCAGTAGAGCTATAACAAATTTCCAAACAAAAAAACCCTCCTGAAAGTGGAATTAAGATTTGAGAACATGTATCAGTAATTTTGATTAAAATACACAGGTTTTAATTAGCTCAGCATCAAGTGTTTCAAAGGGTAAGGCATTCAAAGTAAGGTTAAATATGAAGGAAGTCCAAAACATGGTGAAATGGGGAGTGGAAGGAGAATAAACATAAAACCCCAAACAATCAACTTGTAAGTTTTGTTCTTTCAGTATTTCAACACACTAAGGAAACTATTAATTATTTTATTTTCATGGAAGGAATCAGGATATTTAAAGTTCTTTGTCAGGTGTGGAGAGCAGAGTACAGGCTTTTTATTTGTGGTTTCTGTACTTTGAATCTACTCAGGTTTTATTATGAACTTTATAGTGATGAAAACATTAACCAGCTTTAATTATTTTATTTGTTGATATATAAAATATCTAATGTCATGTGTTTTTGTCTAGGAAACTCTTTAAAACTTATAGACACTTTGAATGTGTGTACATTGTTAGAATGCTTTGTTTTGTGAAATCACTGGAATTACCCTATGGTAACATAAGATTTTAAACAAATTTTAATCAGGCTTCAAATATGCTTTTTCTTTTCTGAGAGGTTAAACCAGCCAGACCCTAGTGGCTATTTAAACTGGTTTAAATGTGTTTCCACTGAGCAGTTGGAGTATGTATTTCATCCTCATTTTTCTATTTTCCCTGAACCTTTCATCACTGTATTTCTCTGCTTCCCTTTTATATCCTTCTATTTCTTTCTCTTCCCCATCTGAAAAATTGATCACTGTTATCAGTTCTGTCTTTATTTAGCTACTTGTATTACTAATAAATTTAAAAAAAAAATATTTAAATCATTATAAGCCAGGTAAAACTATTTTAGTAAAACTTCATTTTTCAGAGAATTAACCAAAAAATTGCTTTTCCAAGATGGTTTGTGTTTCTTATTATTCTCTATAGGTCAAGTTCATAGTCTAATGACTCTGTAGAAATGTTTACCAGTATCCTTGTTGAGGCAGTAGATAACAAAGGTGGTTGTATCCTGATGTTGTTAGGAAATGTGGTTAAATACTTAACTTCACAGTGCTTTCAATGGGATTAGTATTTTTCTCAAAATGGGAACCTGAGGCCAGGTTATGAACTTAATTATATTACTGTGAGTCTGTGGTTCTATGTTGAAATTTTTACCGATTCTTGAGTTTAAGTTAATTGATTGCTGGAACATCCCATCTAGTTGTGGATGGGCAGATTCTACTATAGTTCTCAGTGAGGAAACTTGAGTATGTAGGAGAGGATGTTGTCCTTTAAGCTAATCCTTTTCACTGTGGTACATCCATAGTCACCACAGTATGGATGTAACTGAGAGCCACCAGAGATGACTGTGGTCTGGATGTGACTGATGTGCCACTTGGCTTGACAAATCTAGTGCTGTATTGGGTTTACATGGCAAGGTTTTGGTAGTGGGGAGGGCTGCAGGAGTGGCTTCTGTGAAAAGTCCAGAAGCTGGTCCCACGTCGGACAGGGCCAGTTCCAGCTCGCTTCAAGATGGATCCACCGCTGGCCAAAGCTGAGACAATCGGCGATGGTCATAGTGCCTCTGCGATAACATTTAAGAAACGGTAAAAAATGCTGTGCAACAGCAGTTGGGAGAGACGAGTGAGAATACGTGAGAGAAACAACCCCGCAGACTGCAAGCTCTGTGAAGAAGGAGGAGGAGGAGATGCTCCAGACACCAGAGCAGAGATTCCCCTGCAGCTTGTGGGGAAGACCATGGTGAGGCAGGTTGTCCCTCTGCAGCCCACAGAGATCCACAGTGGAGCAGATATCCACCATGCCTGTGGAGGATCCCATGCTGGAGCAGGTGGATGTGCCCTGAAGGAAGCTGTGACACTGTGGAGAGCCCACACTGGAGCAGGTTCCTGGCAGAAACTGTAGCCCATGGAGAGGAGCCCACGCAGAAGATTTTCTGGCATGACCTATGACCTCATGGGGGACCCATGCTGGAGCAGTCTGTTCCTGAAGGACTGCACGCTGTGGAAAGGACCCATGCTAGAGCACTTGTTGAAGAACTACAGCCTGTGGGAAGGAGCTGCAATGGAGAAGCTCATGAATGACTGTATCCCATGGGAAGCACCCCACACAGGAGCAGAAGAAGTTGAGGTAGAAGGAGCAGCAGAGTTGAAGTGTTAGGAACTGACTGCAACCCTCATTCCCCATCCCCCTGTGCCACTTGGTGGAAAGAGGTAGAAGAGTTGGGAGTGAAGCCGAGTTTGGGAAGAAGGGAGGGGTCCTATTCTGATTAGTTGGGAATGAATTACATTAATTTCCTTAAGTCAAGTCTGATGATGGCAATTGGTAAGTGAACTCCCTGTCCTCCTCTTGACCCCATGAGCTTTTCATCATATTTTCTCTCCCTGCCCTGTTGAGGAGGGGAAGTGATAGAGCGGCTTGGGGGGCACCTGGTGGCTAGCCAAGGTCAACCCACCACAGTCCTTTGTGGTACCTGATGTGGGGCCTGATGAATTAGAGCTAAGGACAGTAATTGGGAGAGGTAAGGAGCAAAATATGGACTGAACATCACTAGAGAGCTGAATAAGTGTGGGGAATTTTGGGGTTTGTAATTGTGGTGAAGGGACGAGGGGTGGAGTGTCTGTAAATTGTCTGCCTTTGTTGGTGTTGTGAAGATGCTATTTTGATTTTGGTGTGGGGAATTCTCTTGCTGATGTAAATTAAGTTTGTGAAGATTGTGTGATGAATGTATATTTTAATGATAATTCTTAAATATGTGATTCACAGAGTTCAGCGGTGGGAAAGGGACTGATATAAAATTGCTTATTTTAGTGGAGCTTGGTGTGGAAGAACATTTTGCTAAGCATATAGAGTGGTAGGTTACCATTACTAATTAAAAACCAAAACAAACAGTACAAAAAAACCTCATAAGTTTTCCAAATGAACTTGAGCTGTATAAAAAATTAGAGCATCTGTATTATTCCATTAAGATCTCAGGACAGCAAAGATTAATGCTCTGTGCTGAGTTTCACATATAGCTTGTTTGTTTTGTTTTTTGTTTTTTTTTAATTGTGTTTTGTTTTTTACTTTATAAAGAAACTCCCAAACCCTGATGCTATAATTTTTCAGAAAAATTGTTCCATATTCAGAATAAGCTCTGTTTCTGATAGGATGTTATGTTTTTTTCATATGTAAGAGATTGAATTACTTCTTTGAGTGCAAATTTAAATTCTGATCTTAACTATAGAGCTGAAAATGATGCCTCCACTAGCTCCTGGGAAGGCTACTTCCTCATAAAATGTACCTGAAAGGAGTTACTTTGTTAGAAAAATATTTGCTTTTCTCCTGGCAGTGGCAGTTTTCTTCCATCATTGCTCAGTTTTCCTCCAAATACCTGTTTTATAAGAATCTAGAGCTCCAGGAAAAGTTATTACTTTATGCAGCAGGAAGCACTACTTTGTGTTGAAGCCTGCTTGAGTGACTAATAGGAATTATGATTAATTTCTTCCTGAGAAAATTACTACTGTAAATGGAATCTGGCTGGTGTTTCTGGAACCAGCCAGAAGAGTCTGGAGCAGCTAATGGTCACTACCCTTGAAGGACTGATCAACAGTTTTCTTGAAAAAACAATTCAAATCATGATTTTAAGCTTACTAATAAGATTTTTATGGCAAGGATTGTTGTCTTGCCTAAAGTTCTTATTGTGCCTTGGACAATAGGATTTTAGTCTATGATTAGTACACCAAGTCACTGTTGTTGTAGTATATGAGATTTCTGAAGGTCATCTTTTGGCAGTTAGGAGGTTATGTTATATTCTAAGGGTTATTTTTTTTCCTTTGTGTATAACCAGTCAAAATGATGCCAAATTTGTACTTTTCTCATTAAGACAAATTTACCGTGACACACATGACATTTTATAAAAATCTATGATGTGGTGATGTAATGACTGAAGAGGTTCAGAATAATTTTTGAGGAAATTAAATGGTACTGAAATAGGCCAATTCTATAAAGCCAAGTAACAACCATTTCTGTAATTGCTATTTCTAGCTATTGATTATAACTTATAGTAACTGACTGACATGTGTTGCTATGGTTTCTTGAAAGCTACATACACTAATTGATGTAATCAAATAGAGAGAGAAATAGAATTTGATCTTTTCAAGACTGTGTTTAAAAGGAGTTAACTGATTAGATAAATGTAGTTCATTGCTTGTCCTGTCATTCTGAACAAAGTCAGGCTATTCAATGTTTCTGTGTATTGGTAAATAGGAAAGCCTATAGTTTTTAAAATCTACTACTGTGTATTAAGCACTAAATTTCTCTGTGGAACTCCTAGTACTTTTAAAGAAAAATATAGCAAACTTGCAATTCTTGCAGTCCCATAGTGGCTATGGAGTTCTACATCTGTACTGCTGACTGTAGCATTGAGCACTTCCAGATGTGGATTATTATTTTCTTTAAGGAATTCTTTATTCTTGTGGAAAATTGTGAGGAATTCATCCTGTTCCAAACAACAGGAGATTGTGCCAAGTACCTCTGTTGTCAAATCTTGATGGAAATCTCAGTTTTAACCAACTGCTTTAACAGATTGTTAGTCAGAGGAGTTGGACTTCACCAGAATGTGTTTGTGTACCCCATAGCACTCATATTTGTTGTGAGAAAATAATATGTTAATTTCTGCTGCACAGTTTCATCACAGATTTGTATATTTATCTGTGTGGCTTGCTCATCAGTGTATACCTCCAGATGGTAGTGATCCAAACTCTACTAATTGCTTGTGTTGAGGAAGAAACTTTCCCATGAGCAGGTTCCTCATAAATGCTTACTGCAAAAGGGAAGGAGGGGATTCTCACACCTTGTGTTGATATGGGTTGCTTTTGGAGGTGAGCTATTGGTCTGGCTTGTTGACCTTTTCTGTTGTATGTTCCTTTTAATTTTATCTACTTTCAGCCAAAATTGCATTCCATAAATCATGGCACTGTGTATTGTGGCAGAGATACTGTAAAGGTCTTACTAGTTCTTCTGGATGAAGAAGCTGTCAGCCCTCCTACCCAGAACAAAGCAGAACTATTATATGATGATGAAAGCTTAAATGTGTTTGGAGTCACCTCTGTTTTGACACTCTTCAGGTGAGTACTAGAAGGTTTTTTGTGTTTGTGTTAGGTTGTTTTGTTTTGAAACATCTTGTACTGAGTGGCTAACAAAGCATTGATACTACTTACACAAAGCAAATGACCAAAATGCAGTCTGTTGTGAGGTTAGCTGGAAAGCATGCTTAGAGCAGTCTCAAGTTCTGAAAAGTATTCTACCTCCTCATTTGCGTTTTCTGTATCTTCAAGATACTTTTGCAATAACGGACTTTTTGAGCTCGTACATTTCTGGGCTGCACAAAACCCATGAAGGAATATCCTTTGCAACAAATCTTCCAAATACTCACCTCTTAAGTTGAGTTTGAACTCGTAAGTGCAAATACTGTCTGTTCAGTAGCTAATTAGATTCCTATTCAATTTGAAGATGCCTTCTTTGTCTAGCTGTGACACAAGACATTTTTGGATTATATCCTGTTTTCTTCCTTATGTTATCATTTTGTGGAGACAGTTTTAAGTATTTTTTTCGTATCATGATCCACCAGTTGGGATAGTATTGCACAAGGGATGTTGGAAAAAATTTACACGCGTGAAGATTTACTAGTAGGGTCTGTAGCTGATGGCATACATTGACTCTAATGGTGAAAGTTGCTTTTGGGGAAGAATAAAATCAAAAGAGGGAGAGGAGAGGAAAGAGAAAACTCTCCCTGGTGGCTAGCTGGGAGGTAAAACCGCCAGGGTTCCCAGACAAGCATCCTCTGAAGTACGGTGGTTGGTTCCCCAATAGTTATTTTCCCAGTGTAACTATATTGTCTTCATAAGGACCTGCTCAAACCCCTTATTGGTTGTCCCTGCTTTTGGTGCCTTTAGTGGCGATTGGAGCATCTGTTCATGAGGGCAGGGGCTGCGTGGCCAGTTGCTTATTAAGGTCTGTGCATGCATGTTTGGGGGTTCCCTAACATAAGAGCTAGAATGAAAAGGGTAGGAAAAGTGGGGAAGAAGGGGGTGTTTCTTATGCTGGTGACAGTTGTTTCCCATGAGAGCCCCACCATAACAACACTATCAGAGTGTGTAGGTGCAAGGCTGTGAGGATAACAGCAAGGAAAGAGAAAAACAGTGATAGGTCCTAAACTGGAAGATGGAGGATCCTAAAAGTTGAAGAATTTAAGAGTTCTATTAGATTTATCGTTCAACCTCTTTTATGAAACCAAAAGAACAAGCACATTCTAATTAAAGTTAAAAAAATTAGTTTCACTAATAAGAATTCTAAATAAACCTGTAATAATTTTTAATTTAAAAGGCAGCTTGTAACAACATATTGTGGAATATTTCTTTCACCTCTCTAATATCTGAGGATGGCTGTAGCTATACATTTCTATTTCATTATGTAACAAGCCTAAAATAACCACGATTTCAGTCTCTTATTTTTTTATTACTTCAGATACAGGAAAATTGATCCACATTACTGTTTATATTGTTTCATTAATAAACCTCTGTGTGGTTGTATTTTTATCAGAATTAAAAGGAGCTTAGTCAGATTTAGGCTATTGCTTTATGTGAATGGAATAAAGGCCCACCTGAATTCTTCTGAATTAAACATTGCTATTATTCAGAGCTAGAAATCTTCTTTTTTTTTTTTTTAAGTAACTCTTTAATTAAAAATGGGCTTTAAACCACCTATTTCTGAATAAGAGTGCCCACTGAGTGCTTTGGTTTCACTTACCTCATTTGATTTTTCAGCTGAATTAATTTTCTTGAATTTTCCCCCAAAAGATAAGACATTTGTTTGACTTAAAATCTTCTTGGTGTAGGTGTAAGCAGGTACTGCTATCTGGGATTTTATATCATAATCTAGGCAATTCTTATGTTTTCCTTAGTACTACTTAGGGGTCAATTTGGTTTAGATTTTATTTTCCAGTCTATAATTTTTTTAATATTATCTGTGCGCTTCTATTTAAAAATTTGTGTTAGAAGTAATTTATTCAAAGTATTGAATTTATGATCCTAAATAATTGTTTTAGGAATAAAAAACTGCAAAAACTGAAATGAAACTTGCAAACAACACCTGTTCTCAGTTTTTATCAAATCTGTGTTCTGCATTTCTCTGGCAGCTTCACTGTAAGGCTCCAGTTGCTTTATGAATGCTGTACACCTTAATACTACACAGGATAGTAGCTAAGGTGTCACTCTGATTTGTATTGGTGTATGGGCACCTCTATGGTCCAGCACTTCTTTGTTAATGCTTTGTCTCAAATATTTGATCTAGAGTGTTTGCTGTCTTTTTGCCAGTCTATTGCTAATAGTCATTCTGGAACAGTTTACAGGATAAATGGCAGTATCTTTGGCAGTAAATGTCACTGCAGTTTTCAGATTCTTTTTGCTAATCTGATTCTGTGTATCAGATTGTTGGTCAGCTCATATGGTAGTTATTGTTTTATGGTTTTTGATCACATGGTAGTTATCATTTTGAGGTTTACCACAATGCTTTTTGTTGTTTCTAGAGATTTCATTACTGAAGAATCCCAAAATATGTTTAAAGTTTGTGAGTAGTTTTGTCTGGGTTCTGGTCAGTTTGAAAGAACACTGTTAGTTTTCAGGTGAAGACTGAGGTTAAATGAGAGCACCTCTTTTTCAAAACTTCAGCATTTCAGGAATTTTGCTTGATTTGTTTTACTCTTCTTTTAATAAACTTCTAGATCAATTGGGTAGATTTATCTCTCTGCACTGAAATCCTGCAAAAAAGCTACTGCTGAGAAGCAGCTGTTGTATTTAACTTTTTGTTGGCTTGCTTTAATTAAAAATATTTTCATTGTAATTTGTGAAATACATGCATATTTGGGAACTGAAAACATAACCACTGGCAATACATCCTCAGTGTTTTAGAACATCTTAAGCAAGCTGAAGTTTTTCTTACTTAATCTGTTCTTTAGTATATCTGTCAAATATTTTCCTTCTGTAAGGACCTAATTTCAATCTTCTGGAAAATATTCTTTTTTAGATATGCATTATAGAAGTTCAAATAAAATTCTGTTGCTATTTTTGTATTTTGAAGCCGCATGCAAGGCAGAAGTGTGCTATTTTTTCCCCTAGTAATTTTAAAATTTTAAGCAAACATAAAAATGTAGTGATGATATTGAAATCAAAATAAGGTGATTCTGATATAATTAATGATATTACTTATGTTTATTATTAATTATTATGTTTATTATTAATTAGAGTTAAATTTTGCATGATCATGGATTAAGTATTTTCATAACTTTTTGCAATAAAGGTTCTGTTTTTCTGGGTTTGCAGGTTCAACAGGTATTCAGGGTTTGGGACAACTTTTTGTTTGCTGCTGTTTTTTATATCATTCCCATCATCTTCCTAGCCTATTAATGTTAAAGCCAGTCATTATTTCTTGCTCATTTCTTTTCTGGCTTTTTAAAATTTCCTTCTATTTAAGGAATACCCATGTTGATCTTGGGTACAAAACAATCTCTTGAAAACCCATTTCTGTGGGCACTGAAAAGGAAACTAATCTATGCATGCACTGGAGAAGCAGTGATGATTTAATCAGCCACTTATCCTGAGGAATCATTTGTTGTTGGAAAAGTGGGATGCTGAGAATTTTGTCATTACAGGTTACAAAGAGGACTCATGAACCAGAACAAGTGTAGACAGGAGCATGCTGAAGCCACATATTTTGGCAATTTAAATAGCAAAAACATTGCAAGGTCCTGCAGAAATTTTGCACAACAGACAAATAGAAATAAATAAAATAAAATAAATTTTATTTATGGAATAATTGAATAGAATGAGCTAAATAAATAAAAATAAAGAATGAGTTATTTTTTAAAAAAACTGTCCTCATATGCACACTGGCCTGCCATGAGCATAAACAGAGAAGTAATTATTTACAGATGCACAGATTAATTCTTCTTATTTCAAGACCAAAAAATCCCCTCTTATATGCATCAATAACTTTTCATTCATGTACGTAACTATTCACATACTGAAATATAGGAGTGTGGAAGCATTTTGTTTGAGTACTTCTATTGAAACATCTGTAAATATGAGGAAAATTATTCTGGATGTCAACGAGATGCTACTCAAGGGGCTGTAAGTAGAATGGTGACTTTGTAACTAATCACTAGCATTACAAATAATAATACTGTGGCTGCAGAACTATGATAGTGTAAGCATGCTACAAAATGATACCAGAAATTGGAACTGTAGGTTTGGTTTCATTATACTGTCTTAAGTTGTCACAGTACATGTAGTTACTTAGGCTTGGAGACTACAGATACTTGCTTTCCTCTTTCTGAGGAACTTGGTAAGGTAACTATTTTTCTTAACTAATTGCTTTTACATGTTCTAAATACTTCTTATCTCTTTTTAATATAGATCTCCAGCACAATCCAGTGGATATTCTCCAAAACCTCTTAGACAACGTGTTCAGGAATCTATGGATGAAAAAAAAATTAAGGTACTGTGTAGGAATTGCTATGCGACTATAGATGCACTGAAGTAGTAATGCTAAAATGAAAACAACAGTGTTAAAATTCTCAAATACTTGGCTGAAATGTATCCCACAGCTAAAGAAATGTAATTGTGATTAACTTTTGGTAAATGGCCTAACTCAAACATATGAGTGGAAATATGAGTGTAATATGTTGTAATATGAGTGGAAATATCTGAAACTCCAGAAGAGAAAGGCTTTAAACTTAAAAGTACTTCCTAATCAAGATCTCTTAATGGAGCCATACTGACTTAATCTATATCTCTTCATTTAACCATCAATGTATTTCAGGACTATAGAAGCTATCTGAAAACAGAGATAAAACTGAACACAGGCACTTGATTTCAGTTCTGATAACGTCAGCATTCTAAAAGTGTAATAATGACTTTTTCATTGCATTTTTTTAGGGTTCTTTTATTTGTAACATTCTGAGGGCTTTTCCATAACATTGCTTTGTGAACAATAAAATGAAGATGCTAGTGTTTGCTATTTTGTAGATGAAATGGAACATTATAACAGTATGTTTGTATTGGGAGTGGCATTATTCAAAAGAATGACTTCAATGTTTCTGAAAACTGCAGTCTTCCAGTGTACTGAATTTTACATTGACAATTTTGAGGAAAAAAGACCAACTTGAATGTTGGGACTGTGGAAAGAGGCAGAGCTTGTATCTTTCACAGCATTTCAACAGAGAACTAAATAAAAGTAGTGACTTAATATTTTTACAAATTTAGCCCTGACAACAGGTGAAAACACAAATGTAATTAGTATATAAGGAAGAAAACAGGGGTGTTTTAAGCCAGAATTAGTTCTAGAACAGCAAAATGGAAAAAACCTTTCTGTCACTGGATATGAGGGGAATTTTAACATATTACATGTTTGAGAAGTAGAAAATAATTAAAAGGAAGTAATGAAAAGCACTGTCAGTATTTCCAGCATATGTTTTAAATATACGCCAACTTCATTCTGAGTGCTTTTTTTGGAATGGGGGTGGGGTGGATAATGGTCATTTGGGATACATGTACTAATTATGGTGAAATTTAGCTTAAAACTCATAGGCAAATTACGAAAGATTGAAACTGATAAAGGATCTTCATTATATTAATTTTACAATAAACAGTATATTTAAATTGCAGCTTTACTCATCAAATAGCAAAAATGTGGTATGCTGTTTGCATAATACATTGAAATAGATGGTTTTCTTATCTAAATAGAGGTTTTGTAATTGGATTCATGAACAGCTGTGTTCAGTATCAGAGTACAGAAATTATTATCTAAAAGTAATTACCTGTCACATTTGAGACCTCTACTGGAAACTTCGGAGGTTTTTGACAGAAACTATCAAAAATATGAATCTTGAGACTGATTCATATTATGAAACTATTTTAACATTTTTGGAAATACTTTTTTGCTAATCAAAAATACTAGACTAGCTACCATAATTTCTATGCAAATAGTAGTTCTTTCAGAGGCCTCTGAATAATTGTATGAGTTATACTTCAGAAGCAGGAATTGCATGCAAAGGTTCATCATAACACTCTCCTGTGCTGCTTTTGTAGGGCCTGACTCTAATAAGGGTTCTGTGACTCCTATGATCCTTGTTAATACAATACAAGAATCTGACTTTTTCTGTAGGACTCATGTCCTAGTCTTGCTTCACCATGATTGATGAAATAGAATGTACCTGTAGCAAAATAGAATGAAACATCTAATGTTTTCAGGCAATGAGTTTTGAGGTCTTTCAGTCAACTTCTCAGACTGATTTTGATGCTCACCAGGTGCCTAATACAATTGAGGATGACTATATTGAAATATAAATGACCTTTTGTCTTATGAAAACAAAAATTTAAAGAGAATAAGCAACAGGTCTAAAGTCTGTGGTTCGCACTTCTAAACTTTCTTTGGCATCTTAGAAGACTGTAAAGCTTTCTTATAGTGTTATCTGTTGTAGATTAAAGCTGTGATGGTGAACTTCACTTTAGCAATATGGATGGTAACGCGATTAAAACGTTAAACTGAATAGCCGCTTGGGGCTACACAACTCATATCTTAGAGCAACATTGAGGCTGCTAGACTGCCTCTAGTAATCATAATCAGTCTTCTTCATGGCTTTTTTCCAGCGTATCCTATTGTACCACAGAGACAAAGTACAGCATGGAACTGAGGCCAAATATCTCAAGATGTTTTTCCATTTAAAAAAATGAAATAAAAATCATGCAGTTCAGAGTATGAATGTTCCTCAATTATGTATCAGCAGAGAGTCCTCTTACTCAAGATAAGACGTTTGAGTGTTTCACATTATGTTTGCAATTCTCTTCTGTGTATCAGCCAAACATTGCCATCTAAACTACACTATATTCCTGTGAAGTCTGGAATTATTCTTCTGGTATTCCTATGTTCACTTTAGTCTTGCTTTTCCTTCCAGTCAACTAAAATTGCTGTTGCCAAACAACTAATGACTTTTCTAACTGAAAACCCGATAGTTCTCTGCCATTCACTTTTGATCTCCTTCCTCTCATGTAAAATCCTGCTTTCTTTCTTGAAACATTCATCTTTCATTTTGTCTTTTTCTGGTTTTCTTTCTACCTTTCTAACAATTTATACAGATTTTCCTTTGCATGTTTCTACTCCTTCCTTTTCTTCCTTTTTCTATGAAGACTTTATAGGGCCCTTTCTCGTCTCTTTCTGTACCTTCTTTGTAGATGAATACATCTACAAACAGAAGTTCAGCTATCATCTTTATGAACAGTTCACAGATCTATGTCTGACCTACGTGTCCCTTCTGTCAAAACTGACATCTTTTCTTACTTCTATACCATCCTGTGAATATCCAGCTGTTGATCTTGAGGTGGTATGTCTATCTTTCCTGGTATATTTAACATTGAGGACTGTATCCTACCTGTTACTTTTTCACTCCATAACACCTCTGGAATATATTCTTCTCTATCCATATGTCCACTCAACTATAAGTTATTAAATGTTCATTTTGATTTTTGATGTGCTGCCATGTATTTTTCTTGGACTTGATAGTTGCCTTTTTGGCTTATCTTTCTTCACTGAGATTGCTGTACAAAAAGTTGTTATCAAAGTGATTAGACACTAGATGCCATTCTGCTTGCATCTCAATCTGTTCGTTTAACTTGTAGTACATAAGCTACTTGTTTTAACCTATCCCAACCCATTGATTATTTCTGTTTTGCTGCTTTGAGATATGTCTTTGCTTACATTCAGCCTGCAATACCAATCTTCATTGTTCATTTGTTAATTTTCAGACTAGCTCTTTCAGCTGTCTGTTTTATACCATTTCTTATGGCTGAAGAGATTTCCTACAGGTATGGTATCTGCAGAACTCATTATCATCTTTTAAAACCTTTTTCAGTACCTTTAAATCAACCTCTCCCCAAAACTTAGCAGTGCTTTGTGTTGAGATGGATGCCCATTACAATGACTAATTTCAGTTCCTTTCTCTGTGAATCCATATATTTCTTGTCTTGGATTGTAATGTCTCTTGGTAGAAATAAATTTTGTTCAGTCTTTACTGTGCAGCACACAGCACAATGAATTCCTTGTCTGTGACCATAGATCTCAAGTGTTGTAGTAATATTTATCACCTTCTTACACTGAATATCAGTCTTCGTTATTATTTCATACAACCACACTGAAATGTGTACAGGTTGCTTGTAAAATTCACAGTTGTAAATTTTTTGATGCATGATGCACTCATTTTAACAATCGACTCAGAAGAGATACCAGACATTTGGTTTTTGAATAAGACAATAGCAACAGGGTGTTTCTTCTCAATGTCAATGATTCTTCTGAGAAGTTTCTTATGCAATATGTATGATGGAAGCATTAGTTCCATAAAATTGTCCTGAGGACCTTTTTACCATGCTGCCTCTGATAGGTGGTTAGATGGTTAGTCTATAGTACAAATTCATGATCTCTCATTAGAACTGGTCCCATAAAAGTCTCCCTTTTCCATGATACTTGAGAGGGGAATTAAAACACAGTAGTGACGATTAGTTTGGTTGTATGCTGAGTCCCATCAAGACATATGTGTTGAATAAAGAAACTTAGGAAAAATCCAGCAAGTGAAAGGAGAAACACTTCTTTAAATTAAAAAAAAAAAAGAAAAAAGAAAAGAGAGAGGGGAAAAAAAAATCATTATGTCCTTTCTTTCCTTAAAAGGAACTGATCTCTCAACTTCTGCAGAATTATGTGGAGGAGTGCAGATTGATAATATTTAGACCTAGGGCATAGCATCATGCATATGTGTTTAGTATCTAGAAATATGAAGAGTGGATGAAATATACAGGTAGCTATGAACTGGAATTGGTGTTTAAAAATAAAATAAATCTGTGGGTATTTCCATTGTGCCAAAATAACTTCCTGGCAACAGTGAAAGACAAAGAAATATTTTTGTCTTTCAATCCTCATGAAATACTGGAAGAGATGCAGAAAAATCACCTAACTATAACGGCATTTGTTAGGAGGCAAAGCTGTTGCTCTTATCCGTTGAGGAGAAAGAAGTCTGGGGAACTAGCATGTTGCATTTTTTCATTCCCTCCAGCAAAGCAGGTAAGAGTAATAATAAGAAAGTCAATCTTCCTTTGAGAGACAATTTAGAGTTTCAAGTTTGTTATCTGTTATTTAAGTGAAGTGTCTTCTGGTGAATGATATTTTGTGGAAGGAGTCTTTCATTCAGAAAGGTCTATAGAACATCTACTGAATTATGTCTCTTGTCAGTTGTCCTTATCACTCCTTTCTGCATTATAAAATATGTAGAAAGTTTAATTGGACAGGAGAGAGGTATTTTATCTAAAAAGTTTACATCCAACCTTATGTCTGCCTCTTTGAATCATACTTCCATTTATCTGAAATGGGTAGATACTCTACTGTTTGACTACTTATTTTGTTGATTTCAATGGGGTTATGTAAATCCTGCTTATTGGTGAGAGGGGGGAATG